TTAAGTGTTCCTCTGGAAAAAAGTACCCTAATATTCTGTATTACAATTCACCATTTATGTATGTATACCTTAGTTAAGAGAAGAGAAACATCTACTTTAAATAAATCTTAAAACATCTTTTACACATATGACATGAACTGAATGTTTGTAGTCCATCATATAAATATTTGAAGGAAAGAATGAGGCTTGGAATAAATAAATAAACAAACAAATGAGCAAGTAAATTTCCAAAAATACAAAAATGATTTGTTATTTCTGTGAAATCAGTCTCATCATTCCCATTTATTTTACGTTAGCATGTTTTGTAATATTATGGATAAGTATACTCTCCACCTCACATACTTTATTTAAACACCATGTTTTACAAAGTTGTTCTGATGATTTGTTACAGACATTCAATATTTCAACACTAATTCCAACACCACTGTCATCTTCCCTCCATCATTGTCTCCATTTTTCCAGTCACCCCTCAAGCCTGCACTTATCACAAGCAGACAATATTTTGTTTTATTTGATTGCTTATTACCACTAAATTGCTAATGGAATGATGAAAAAATATTTTACAAGAGGAAAATTTGTGAAAATTGTTGTATATTACCATGAGGACACCAAGTTCTTGTCTGAAGATTTACTAAGCTATTGTTGCAAGTCAACCCTTTGTGTTAATGTTTTTGTTAGTTGAGACTGGTCAATTTCTTTCTTTCTTTTTTTTTTTAAATTTTATTGAATCACCATGAGACAGTTACAAGCTTTTATGTTTGGGTTAAAATCACACAATGATCAAACACCCATCCCTCCACCAGTGCACATTCCCCACCACAAATATCCCCGGTGTACCTCCCTTTTCCCACCCTCCCCCTGCCACCATGGAAGACAGTTTTCCCCATACTCTCTCTCTACTTTTGGGCATTGTTTTGCTATATAGCTATGAGAGGCCATCATGTTTGGTCCTTTATCTACTTTCTGCACACATCTCTCATCCTGACCGATTCCTCCAGCCATCATCTTCTTCTCTATTCCAGTTGCCTTCTCCCCTTTGCTCATAAGGCAGGCTTCCAGCTATAGAGCAATCTATCTGTCCCATGTATCTACTATCCTTAGGTGTCAGCCTCATGTTATATTGTTTTATACTCCACAAATGAGTGCAGTCCTTCTATGAGACTGATCAATTTCTATATTACACCCTATCCTTCTATACTGTGCTATCAATGTTGTAGATATTGGAGATGTCATGTGCCCAGGAATGCATATATTGCATAAATATTCTGACAACTCTTTACAGGAGTCAGTTCTTAGATCTTGCATCACTGTATCACTGTCATCCCGGTGTTCATCAATTTGCTCGAGCAGGTGCCAGTAATGGCTCAATTCATCCCAGCTCTGAGATTTTAGCAGCCTCTCCTTACCCATCCTCCCCAACTGTGCTGTATTGGAGGCACTCTTAGGGTCAGGGGAATGAGATTTGTTATTGTTACTATTTTTGGCATACTGAATATGCCACAGGGAGCTTGCCAGGCTCTGCCATGTGGGTTGGATACTCTCGGTAGCTTGCCAGGCTCTCCAAGAGGGACAGAGAATGTATATAAGAGAATACGAGCAAGTATGTTAAACCAAACACATGTGTGCTGCTTTAGGTACATCAGTGGGCTAGACTTATAGTCTATAGTCTTGGGTCTTGTACTATTGAAATATTTTTTAATTAATCCCCTAGATAGAAAGTATTGCAACTTTTCTATTATAAGCTTATGGGATACCAAAAGCAATCATTTCACAATTATGAGAAGAGTACAATCCCCACCAAGACTGGGAATAAGAGCTCCATATAAGAGAAAGGGAAAAATTACAAAAAGATATAATTCCCCAAAGATCTGTACACAGAGTTAAAGCTGATCATTACATACCCCTTTTAGTTATATTACAAAAATCTTTATACTATCTTCAGCATTTTGGAATAAAATGCAAGGAGATTTGGCACTTTGGTGGTGGTGGGTTGTAATAACTGTGTGCATCAATACCATAAATGTCAACACTGTTGTGTTAGTGTTTCCAAAATTATAATAAGAAAAAAGAAGGAGGGAGGGAAGGAAGGAAGGAAGGAAGGAAGGAAGGGAGGGAAAGAGAGAGGGAGGGAGGGAGGGAGGGAAGGAGGGAGGGAGGGAGGGAGGGAGGGAGGGAGGGAAGAAGGGAAGAAGGGAAGAGGGGAGGGAAGGGGAGGGGAGGGGAGTTGATGAGAGGAGAGGAGAGGAGAGGAGAGGAGAGGAGAGGAGAGGAGAGGAGAGGAGAGGAGAGGAGAGGAGAGGAGAGGAAAGAGGAAAGAGGAAAGAGGAAAGAGGGACAAGATAGAAGTTTTCAGTTTCTCTAATCTGTGTAAAAATTCTCTGAAACAAAGGAAGAGAAGTAAATAGAAGCATTATTCTCATCTCCATTTTGTGGGAATAATGCTAGACTACAATAAAAGTTCTTTCCTGTCTTACTAAAAAATGTGGGGGAAACACTTGGACCTCTGTGTTCTCATTAGCCCCATGCTAAGATTGTACTCAGATCCACTATATGACACATCAGAGAACTGACAGAATCTTCCCATAATAGAAACACACTAGTCCAAATTAATTCTAGTTTACAAATGTCATAAAGAAAATTGGATAAAAAGATTTAATTTGATTTTGTTCAAAGATCAGGTGAAGGGACATGATGAAGTTGCTATAGGCAAAGAAAACTGAATTTTGCATAGTGTACTTAATTTTACAACTAAATGATTTGCCTCCAAATAATCTTATACTCCATTGAAATGCTTTCCACCTTGAGTAAGAAGAGGTAAAAAAAAGTCTTAATCATGGAAAGAATTGTGCAACAAAATGAAATATATACAGAATTTCCTTTAATATTAACTTTATCATTGAAGAAATAACTATAATTTTTCTTACAGAGGACAAACTTTGATAGAAATGTCAAAAGATTTTGGTTAACTTCATCTTTTTAATCTTAGACGTTTTTGGCTATTATTCACAGACCTTATTGTGGTTTCCTGAATAAAATTATGCCCTTTAGCATAGCAGCCTTACATTTACTACAGGTCCAGGATAATAAAAAGTCAGCAGCAGGAGAAAATATGTTTTATATGTTAGGCTAACTTTACTCAGAACTGGAAAATATTGGCAAGTGGTGCTTAATTATGTTACTCTAGCATAACAGATCTAAAAAATTTCCAGCCTGAGCAAACATAGCTAATTTCTAAGTACTTAAGATAGAATAACTATTTCCTATTTTTTAATATATAAGGCCCCAAATGGTAATCTTGCTTTTTATTACTAAAAATACCTTCCCCATTCAATTTTATTACATTATTATTTAAACTTCTATTTAAATGGTCTTGAAATATAAAATTAAATAAAAGTTGAGACAGAAAAATGTAAATAAATTAGATATGAGTAATTCTGATTTCTTTAGCAAGTTGGCTCTAAACTTATTATTTCTTTAATATTCAGATCATAATTCTTTCCATTAATGGTAGAGGATCAATGTACTAGTGATATACTGCTACATAATGAATTATCTAAAAACCTATTACTTAAAACAACACACATTTACTTACGGTTTCTAGAGGTTAAAAAGTCAAGGATGCCTTCACAGAGTGCTCCTGATCTGGTTCTTTCATGAGATTACAGGCAAGTTGCAAGAAAGGACTATAATCCCTGAAACCTTGGCTGGGCCTAGAGCGTCTGCTTCTAGGACTGGTATCTCTTGGGCCTGTTGCCAAGAGGGCTCAATCTTTACTGATTGCTGGCATGAAGCATCAGGTCATTGCCACATAGACTTCTCCCTGGGTCATTTCAGCATTCTCAGGAGCCGGTAGCTAGATTTCTCCCAAGCAAGCCATTCAAGAATGGCATTCATGTCGTTTACATTACCTTGGTTCAGAAGTCACATTCCATCTTTCCGTATTATTCTTTGGTTATACCGGTTATTCGCAGTCAATGTGTGAACACCAAGAGACAGAGATTTTTGATTTGAACTATAATAATTTAGCTGGTGAAGTTTTGGGAAAAAAATTAGTGACAGAAAGAATTCTCATACACAGGAAAGGTGAACTCCAAAATCATAGATAAAAGTTTAGGACAATACCAGTTAGCATACTATAAGTTTTTTTCTGAAAATGCTGGACAAAGGACTGGAGCGATAGCCTAGTGGGTAGGGCGTTTGCCTTGTATGCGGCTGACAGAGGTTCGATCCCTCCGTCCCTCTTGGAGAGCCCAGCAAGCTACCAAGAGTATCCTGCCCACACAGCAGAACCTGGCAAGCTCCCTATGGTGTATTCATATGTTAAAAACAGTAACAACAAGTCTCACAATGGATACGTTACTGGTGCCCGCTCAAGCAAATCGATGAACAATGGGAGGACAGTGGACAGTGCTACAGTGCTGGACAAAAATTTTAAAATGAACCCCAAATATAGTGACCAGAGCATGTTGGTCTTAAGATATAACTGACTTTTAGTCAATTATTTTACATAAATTTATCTTAAATCTTCCATGACCACTTACTTTAACTTCCTGATCCTTCCAAGCTCCAAAGAAACAGAGAATAGCAGGGGCCTCAAATGAAATTCTATAAATGTAAATTAAACTCAGGTGATAAAAATAAATTAGTCTTTGAAATGTAAGCAGTTGTAAGAATTGTAACCAAATTATTCTTTGGTTCTTATTAGCCAATGTTTGTATAAGTAAGAGCTTAGATTTTTAAAATTATAATCTGTTTATACATCCAAAAATATAACCTCTAATACAAATAAAATATATGGTCTTCACAAATACACATATAATAGAAAACATAATGAGGCATAAACAAGAAAACATGTTTGCAGTTTCTCACATCCTGTTGACTGATTGACTCATAGAGCTTTCTTTTTTGACAGAAACGTTCACAGAGAGTACCATGAAGTCTGGATTATGTTTCCTGTTGCACCACTCCCCCTTCATCCCCCAGGACACTACAGTTGCAGAATGACTGTGAGTCTCATAAAAAAAAAATGGTGCAGGCATGAGACTAGAGTGTTCGGTGGCCAAGAGCCATTCTTCTGGCCGGCACATGCAAGGGATGGATGAAGGACCGGGGAACAGAGAAACAAAGCCCCACCCTTGTTAGTAGTCAATTTCTTTTCTCTCCTCCCCACCTTAGTCTGATCTCTCCCCTTACAGCACAATCATAGTTGTAGTTTTGGTCATAGTGCCAGTCATCATAGTTCCATCATCCTAATCTCCTTGTAGACCTCTAGGTCTTCTCTTTCTAGTCCCTTCTTACCCCTTACAGCATAGTTATATAGAAATCGTAAAGGGTGGGGTACACTTAGGTGGGATTGAACATTATCACAACAACAAACATAGGTAAAGACACTCCTTCAGGGGAAGTTCTTGGGGGATTAACTCAAGGACAAAATCTCATCTGAAGTTTCAGCACTCTAGATTACTAAGAGATCCGCTCAAGGGCAAGATTCCATCTAGGATGTATTGCTTTCTCCTTTTCTCAGCTAATAATCCATTTAAATAATCATAGGAAATTTACTTCTTATACTATTTCTAGTCACTTTGTATGAACACAATAAGAAATATATTAAGCCTAAAGGTTGGCTCTTCCTGGGGACATCTCGCTATATATATATCCTAGACCACAGTCCTCAGGCCAGATTACTTTTTCCTAACCCCAGCAGCACACTTATTCAGTTACTTCTTTTTAAGTCAAGAAGATGTTTGTCCCATGATCATGCTCTTAACTTACTATGTTTATGGTGCTTAGTTTTTCTCCTTTGGATGCCAGGGTAGCTTACAGCTTCTCCTGGGTCCATCCAGTCCCTATTACTTAGAAAATATCGATATTACCTTTGGAAATTTTTAGTTGGAGGCTAAACAAGTAAGACTTAGGTTAACCATGCAGCAATCAAGGATGTTGCTCAAAATATAGAGGTGGAATAAATTGAAGAGCCTAGTAGCTCCACAAATCTGTGGTTGTATTGACCACATTAGAGTATCTGTTTATATAAACAGTACTCTTTTAATCTTTTGAAGCACTTCCACATATTTTCCATATTCCATATCCTTTCAACAGTCCTGGAGTCAAGTTGGGTAGGTGTAATTACATCTGGTCCTTTGGCTAGGAAAATAGATTCAGAGGGTAAATAAATGATTTGTCTTAGTGGGTAGGTCACATAATATTGAATATAAATGTTCCAATTCCCAGTCTGTCATATATTCCTCTACATCACTGCTTCTGAATTTTTAACAAATGACTGGGAATCTTCTTGAAATTACAGATTCTTAATAATAAATCTAAGGTGGGGTTCTCAATTTCTGCACTTCCTACAATATCCAAGGTGACTCAGATGCTATTGGTCTGTAGTTCTTAACTAAATCCTATCTAATCCAATCTCTAAATTCAATGTCAGCAAAATCAGTAGTTTTAAAAGTATAAAACACAACAAATTGTGTTTTAAAAGTATAAATTCAAGAGCCCTACCCTAGAGGGTTAGTATGTCTGGCATGAGTCCTTAATTTCTGCACTGGTAGAAGTTCCAAAAACGCGTTTGATTGATTGCCAATGCCGAGCACTTTAGGACACTAAGAATGTAATTATAGCTCCCATAATTTACAGTTTTAAAAGCTGCAGTAAATTTTTTTATTGCAATTGTTAGTCGAGTTTCATCCTAACTCACAAGGTAATTGAATTGCTCATATATTTATGGAATATTGAACTTTCATTTCTCTTCAGATTTTTATCCCTCATCTTTTGATCTGAAGACTTTCTTAAGAATTAGAATTTCTCTAATTCCTAGTGCACAAAAAATCTTAGCACTCTATAATGTCATACTATGTAGGTTTCACTCATTTTTGTTTAAAATAGCATCACTTACAAATTTAAGTCCCTATTTTCTTTGATCTTTTAAGATATCTCTGCTTCTTGGAGAATTTATTGTCAGGTGCAATTTTCATTATAATGCACATTTCAGAGGCCTATACGAAGATAAGGAGGAAGTGTTCAAGATGTACAAATCATTTCAAGAAGTACGTTTTGGAAGGGAAAAGAAAAGGTAACATCTGAATGACAACTAAAGAGATAGGAACCTCACTGCCACAGTTAAGTTTACCATGTGAACACATGGCAAAGACAGGATGAGATAAAAGCAAATTCTGTTAGGAGGCGTTAGGGGATGATGTGTCATGATCCTTTGGAGAGTTTAATAATTCCAGCAAGTTATCTAACATATTCCTGACTCATTGATCTAAAGGATAGTTTAAGAGCAGTCTAAGGATGAATTTGCTTTCTTTCTTTGGACGGATAACCTTGACTTTCAAATTGCTAAACTCTACTCTCCCACATTAATTCTATAAGTAGGAGTAAACAAAGAGAGAGACCAGAGGACACAGGAAGTTGGAAGAACGGTCCAGAAGCAGGCACTGTGGGTTCTTCTCATCCCCAAAACCTTACCCAAATCTTTGTTTTTTCATGCTTTTGTTTCAAGTTCCAAATACAGTACAGTCTCCAAAGCAAAGAGGCTCTCTAAGTTTACAGAGTTCTTAGTGTCATGGGAGTTTCTTCACAGCACATCCCAAAGCCAATTTATTTATCAAGTAGTTAAGACCAAACAACTTTTTAAGTTTTATGTCACATCAGCTAAGTGCCTATTGAGCACAGCACAACTCTTGAAATGAAATGAGAGGGGACACCACTATTTCTATTTTCTATTTTAAACTGATTATTTTTCATGGTAGTTGCATTTTATGGTACTAATTCCAACTTCACAAAGAAATGAAGTGAACAAATAGAATGCAGCAATTCAATGTTCATATTCATATTAGTTCATGCAGATTCCAAAAGCAATTGCTGTATTGCCTTCACACAATTTGAAAATTATGACTCGACCACCAAAAATTAAAGATCAAAACTCAGATTTCTGGTCTGCCTGAGACCTTCTAGTGATGTCTTAGGTGGGAAATAGATTAATTAATCTGAATTTTAATTTCTTCACCCTAAAGTTAGAAGCAATTGTTTTCCAGCATTCTAGAAGAAAATGCATCATAAGTACTTTTCAGGTAGAGTGAAATGCTATACATACAGTTGTAGTGTTCTCTTGAAAGTGATATAGTGATTTTATTATTTTGTTTTTTGACTGCAGATTCCCTTCTTCAAATAAAGCATCACTAACAGGTAAAACATGCACACACAGACACAGACACACAAAGACACAACACACACATGTGATTGTTAAGAAAAGCACGTGGGCACACGTGACTCGAATGTTCAGTGGCCGAGAGCCATCCTCCTGGCTGGCCCACGCAAGGGATGGATGAAGGATGCGGAACAGAGAAACTGTGACTGAGCCCCAGGCTGGTCAGTAATCATTTATTTTTCTCTTCTCCCCAGCTTAGTACGATCTCTTCCCTTAGAGCACAATCGTAGTTAAAGTTTTGGTCATAGTCCCAGTCATCATAGTTCCATCACCCTAGTTTCCTCGTAGATCTCAAAGTCCTCTACTTCATTATATCTTCTTTCTCATCTTGTCGTAGTTTCATAGTTTCTTTAGTTCTTCTAATACTCTCTTTCCCCTTACAGAATAGTTATAAGAAATCATGAAGGGTGGGTGTACACATAGGTGGGGTTGAACATTGACATAACAACAAACTAAGGCAAAGTTACTCCTTCAGGGGAAGTTCTAGGGGATTAACTAAGTAAGTAAAGTAAGTAAAGACCCTCCCGTTGATCATCGATTTGCTCGAGCGGGACCAGTAACGTCTCCATTGGAGACTTTGTTGTTACTGTGTCTGGCATATTGAAAACGTCACGGGGAGCTTGCCAGGCTCTGCCGTGCGGGCAAGATAATCTCGGTAGCTTGCCAGGTTCTCTGAGAGGGCCAAAGGAATCGAACTCGGGTCGGCCATGTTGGCTGCGTGCAAGGCAAACGCCCTACCGCTGTGCTATCGCTCCAGCGATTAACTAAAGGACAAGATTTCATCTGAGGGTTCAGTACTCCAGATTACTAGGAGATCTGCTCAAGGTCAGGATTCCATCTAGGGTGTATTGTTTTCTCCTTTCCTCAGCTAATAGTCCATTTAAACAATCATAAGAAATTTACTTTTTATAATATTTCTAGTCATTTTATATGAACACAGTAAGAGATATATTAAGCTTAAAGGTTGGCTCTTCCTCGAGAAATCTTGCTATATATCCCAGACCACAGTCCTCAGGCCAGGTTACTCTTTGCTAACCGCAGCAGGGTCCTTATTCAGTTACTTCTTTCTAAGTCATGACAAAGTTTGTTCCATGATTGTGCTCTTAAATTACACTTACGGTGCTTAGTTTTTCTCCTTTGGATGCCAGGGTAGTTTACAGCTTGTCCTAAGTTCACCCAGTCCCTTTTTCAGGACTCTGCTTTTTGGCATGTTAGGAAGTAATGGCAACTGAGGTTTAAGTCAAGTAAATATGATGGATGCCCAGGAATAAATATTATTCAGAGTCAGTTAACTCCCATGTTACAAAAACATAGCATCAACTGTCTTCCTATGTCTATACAAAAAGGACATTGCTGAACTGTGCAAAGGTTATAAAGAAAATCACAAATCACAAATCATCCTGTTAATCGTCGATTGCATCGAGCAGGCCCCAGTAACGTCTCCTTCATCCTAGCCCTGAGATTATATTCAAGGCTCTTTAGGAGTATGAGACCCATCATTGTTACCGGTATTTGGCGTATTGGATACACCACGGGGAGTTTGCCAGACTCTGCCGTATGGGCAGGCTACATTCGGTAGCCTGCCAGTTTGTCCAAAGTAGGAATGAGATAATAAGATGACATAATAATATATATATTTTTTAATTTTCAAATTTCTTTTTCCTTTCATGGTAATTACATTTATCACAATGAAGACAATATAATTCCAGAGCTATGTGCTTTGACTGTTCTGTATTTATGTTCAGGAACATGGTTCATGACCTGAAGAAGAGCATAAAATGACTTGGAATGTGAAAGAAAGATCTAGAACTTTTATATATTTTTCTGTGCTCGCAAAGAATAGTACATATGCCATTAATAAAAATAAAATATAATAATGGAGTCAAAGAGTTGAAGAAAATAGAAAACCAATATAGAATTATGAATGTCTGATGGAATTGTGTGTGCCTGGGGGGCACTGTTGTGGGACTAACTCAATAAACCTAAGCTCTCTGTGGGAGGAGCAAGGACAGCCCAATGTTATCCAACACACACACACACACACACACGCCCACACAATTAAACATAAGAAATCTGTGAAATGAAAAAAAGGTGTGCTGATATGTTCTTTGGACCCATTCCTTGTCCACTCTTTTTTCTACCTTTTTCTAAGAGAAATATTACTGCTACCTTTCCCAACCTTTCATTAAATTATCTTCCTACTGAACTTTTCTTGTAGGCCATTGGAAGGAGAATCTGAAGTAGTCCCCGCATTCTGTCTCTCCATAGAATTTTCAGTCTCGCTGTTCTTAGGCACAATGAAAGATTCCCTATTGTGATGTTCTCATGACCGTTATGGGGCCTCAGCTCTTCTCTTTGCTTCTCCTCCTCTGGGTGATTGTTGCTTACTGTACTTGGACACTGAGTGAAGTCTGAATGGCTGAGAACCTTATTCTGGGATCATTTCCTGACATGTTATTCCTTAGCTTCCTACAAACTTCTTTAGGCTCCTTTCTCTGTCTATCACTGGCTATGGCACAGAACATCTTTGAGCACTGTCACTGTCACTGTCCTCCCGTTGTTCATCCATTTGCTCGAGCGGGCCCAGTAATGTCTCCATTGTGACAATTGTTACTGTGTTTGGCATATCGAATACATCACGGGTAGCTTGCCAGGCTTTGCTGTGCAGGTGAGATACTCTCGGTAGCTTGCCAGGCTCTCTGAGAGGGGCGGAGGAACCAAACTGGGGTCGGCCATATTGGCCACTTGCAAGGCAAATGCCTTACCCGCTGTGCTATCGCTCCAGCCCTTTGGGCACTATTTTCTACATTCTATAACAATCAGACTTTAGTTTATAAGTTACATACATTCCATGATAAATGGAAAAGTGATTAGAAATGACTTAAAACATCAGATGAACTTTTATTATAACCCAAGCCTTTGTGTATTTGCACGAGCATTCTACACTAAAAGTTAACTCCCACTGAACTAAAAATAGGTACTTCTTTTTCTCCAAATGACACTTCAATTTGAAGACAAAATTCTGAACTGGTTAAAAACTCTTTTAACCAGTAAGATTCAGTGAGGATTAATGAAATCAATTATAGAAAAGTTACAATGGATTTTGGTTCCTGCTACTGATTCATGTTTCTATTCTAATCTTGATGTTTATGTTCAACAACCCACTCTGGTATTGTGCTCATTCCTTCTTCTTGTATTGTGGTTTCAGCACTTCCAAAGTGGTTTTAGGCATTTCTAATCCAAATTTTGGGTTCATGTACTCAGAGATAATTACCTTTGGTTGCAAGGAGGATGCATATATATGACAGAAGATAGAATTAGGCAATTATGGTTTGGGAATTGCTTCTCCAAATAGAAAAATTGAAATGCATATGTTTGTAAATAATTATGACCTAATGTGTAATAAGAGGTTTCAGTTTTTTTCTCCATAACTTTTTTTGTTTAAATTTCACTTTCTGAACTGCTGTAGCATCAACTGTTATGGAATAAAAATATCTGAGTAAATTACTGCCACATATAATAAAATGCATGACATCTCATATAGACTAAAAGACTATATAATGATGCTTACTACATTATATTAAGATTGCAACTTATCAGTCTGGCTAATGGACTATTATGAACTTGGAGGAAAACAGGATTGAGTCTTTTTAGTCATATATTTCTAGTATCAGCATAGATGCTTAGGATAAGGGAGGTTTTCAAAACATGAAATAAAGTAATGAATAAATGCAAGGCTGAATTAAGTTCAACTAATGTCACAGCACAATCTAACAATGGTGCTCCCTCAACTTTCTCATCGCCAAAATTCAAGAGCTGAGAGATCATTTACATAATTAGTTGTTGAATTAAATGCTAGT